GATAAAGTCCGCCAATTAGACCACCATTATTTGGGGGTCTTGTAGATCTTGATGAGGTAAGAAACCACAAATCATGTCACCGACGGGATCGTAAAATACAACTAATGATTATAAGTTGAGGTTGTTGATGTGCCATGAGATCTTGGCATGTTTGATGCTAAAAACTAAGCATTATTGCTAGAATCTAGTATATATAAGTTGATATGATGTGCTTGGTGATGTTGGACAGGTAAAACATGTGGACGTGGAAAATAGAAAGAGAAGAAGACTATTTATTCTTGAACAAAGATAACAAGGTAAAGACGGTCCATGGTCTCTTTTACGGTCCATCATGAAGCTCGTAAAGAATTTCCAATAAGCAAGCTTTGTAGAGTTAAAGTTGATTTTATCCAAGGAAAGATCATGGATGCCCTGATCGGTCGTGGTGATCATGATAGCTCGTGTTGTTGCTCATTATGTTTAACTAGTGGGAATGCCTTGATGGACTATGTTTTTGTTTAACAAAGTAAAGACTATGGAAGCCATATTGGTTCATGCACCTCACGACGAGTCGTGGTTCTATTCGTGACGGATTTAAAAAGTAGACATGCATTGAGGAGTAAAGCTTATCATGGTTGTAAGTACTACATAACCTAAAATAGACCATTGTTCGTGAAAAGGCTCGTGATCAAAATCATGAAGTGTTTCCGGTATCTAGGCATTGAAATTTCATATTCAATTTTACTACGTTCTGGCCATGGCATGCTTCATGGACCTTGAAGCACGTGATGGATCGTCAGGTCATCATGAAGCTGCCCAACATTGAAGTCCTACTTCGAGTAGGACTCTTTGTAGACTTACCATTTGAATTAATTATGTTTTAACTTTTAATTAGCTCATCATATCTGGAATGAAAAACTACTTTCTATATTTTATCTACTCTTGTTTTTTAGTGATTAACATTGAATCGAGGATTAAAGTTTTTTTTTTGGTTTTTGAATACCAAGTGTTCTTTAATTCTACAAATTGTCGTAAGTGATTTCTTATAATGAAGTCATTAATTATCTTTGCTTATTTGATTGAAAGAATGAGTAGCTAAACACCACAACTAGGTTTGTGGGAACGATCACTTAAATCTAAGTGTAGATTCGTATTACGAGTAGAATGTAATTCATATTTTCAATATACAACTCAACTTTCGTTATTCATTTACTATATTGCGCATTAGAATGTTCCTGCATCTTTAAATTGTTCGAGAAAAATCAATAGTTAGTGAAAACTTGAGTTGAACAGTTGAATTGGAGTGAATATTTGGAGAGAAGAGAACTTTGATTGTAAACTATGCGAGGCTAAAATCTAATAACTCTCTAAGACCTAGACGATTTCAGTGGAAAATTATCGAACAAGAACAAGAAGTAATTGATACACCTAACTCGCATGTAAATTGCATAGGTAATTATTACCTGAAACACATTCATGAATTAACACTAGATATAACATCATGGTAAGCAGAGCCCTGGTTTCATTCATTAATCGTGACAACCTTGAAGTTAACATTCTATTGATTTTGTTAATCTGAATATTTTAACAATAATGGTTACTTGAATCTGACTGCCATACCCATTTGACATTTTTTCCATTGCTTTCTCTAGGAAATAAAAACAACCTTTTTGTAAAGGTGACAATAAAACTATTTAAGTAATGAAATTCTCTATGGGATCAACCTAAAATCACGTTGAGTTCTATAACTTGTCTTCGACTTTTTATACTTATTAATTGAAGTTTAAGTTTGGACGTATTACTATTTTGGGTCATACAGGGGTCAATTACTTAATATATTGATATCTAATATCCAATTAAGGAGATACGTTCCACTCACAACATATTTTAAGGTTCAAGATAAAAATATTTGGAAATTACAGGTGAAGACATCATCTTCATCTCACTACAACCCTTATCGATAAAGTCGTAGTGATTAAGAGTAGTTGTTCTTCATTAAAGCTATAGCTTGTTTATACAGTTGCATAACCACAATAAAAAAGATCCATTATGTTAGTTCTCCCAAAAAAAAAAGCTTGAACATTAGTTTTTACTATTTTATTGTATTATACCCACAGAAATATAATACAATTATTCCATAATTAAAGAATCGAACTACGCTTGATTGTATTGATCTAGAATCTATACATGATTTCTCTAAAATCTAGTATTTCAAATGTTGGAAAAATAATATACCTTGCCAGAAAAAAAAATTAAATACATATTACTGAATTACTGTGTCAATGTTTTACTTATTGTACTAGATTATGATTTATTGAGCAAAACTTTGAAGGTTATGTATTATGTATCTACTCTCAATTACCGATTACGAAAATTGAATTTTAAAAATACAAAATAAAATATCAAACCTTCACCCCTTCGAGGCACATAGATTAATTATATTAACAAAAAAGTATAAAGAAAGGTAACATAAACCTAACCTCCAATTAATCATAATGTTGGTTACACTTTTCAAACAACAAATCATTAATCCTTACACCTAAGCTATCAGGACTCTTCTAATATAAAGTAAAAAAGGAAAACCTTCGTACAATTTTTTTTATAGTAACCTGATATAGTGCAGTAACGAATTAGCATACAACAAAAATTTAAAACGGTCGATGTTGTAAAATTTAACTCTAAAAAAAACCCTAAACAAATTTCTTAATTAATTAAAGGACGAAATCAATAATATTTTCTTCTTTTAATCCACCATTCTCTTCTTTCTCAAATCCTATGTTAGAACCTTAGGGAAAAAATTCAATAGAAGACTTCCATTCAAGATTCTTTAATTTTTTTTCAAGATTCTTCTTCAAGGTAAGTCCTTCTCCAAGAATTTTATTCTTTAAATATCAATTTCCTCCATAAAGTTGTGAATCAATAATGAAAATAATATGTTTTGTCCATAGAGATTTCAAGAAAAAAAATTCAAGGATCTCAAGAAAGGGTTTTCTAAATTTTTCTACTTCAAGGTAAAGTTTCAAGGCTTGTAATCATGTTCTTCTACAAGATTCATCAAGAACCTTATTCTGATAGGCATGCAAAGGCTATCAGAGTGTTGGACTAGTTCATCCTGAAACCCTACAAAATGAACCTTTTTGTGTTATAAATCTTGAGAAGCTTTCTTAAGCAAACACTTGAGTTTTAAACTGAGTTTTTGAGCAAGTAAATACGAGTTTTGAAGAGTTTATAAAACATGATTAGTATTATAGATGAGTATACCATGCATGTTTAAGCCATATGGTATATAGATATGCTATCTGTTTTTATGTTGTAACTTCCCGAGTCATCTATGATCATATGACAATATGATTTTGATATATTTTGAAGAATAATTTTCAAATATGAATTTAGTAAGAGTATAAGGGAGCTATGTATTTCAGAGGTATCTTTTTTTAAATAGACAAAATAATTTTTTCCATTTCTTATTGATTTAATGAGTTTAGATATATTTAAGAGCAGTTACCTCTTTAAAAAAGACATAACTTATTCATGTAGAATTTTTGTGGGATAGGACTAAAGCTTTCTTCTTGAGAGACATGTTCTAGTATTTGTCCAATCAAACTGTTTGGATAATGGAAAATAACAAGTGAGAATCATGCCCACTCACCCTTCTTCCACGGTATAAGTATAAAATCATAGTTGAATAGAGTTTAATTTATTTTATTTCACATTTAAGTCACCTTTCACCTTGTCTTTGTTTTGAAGTCCAAAAATTGTTCAATTCCCTTTCGCACATAAAAATTTCCCTTAGAAACCACCTTGTTTATGAGTTCAACACTCCACACCACCTGTCCATTACCATTGCTAAAATTGATTTTTGTTTTATGGCATAACCTTTTGATGAATGAGAAAACTTTAAAGAAAATGAGGTTCACCCAGATATTATAGAAACAGGTTTACGCCAGTAGGCAACTTATTAGTAATGAATAAGTACAACATGTAGCAATGGGGAGAATCCGATAAGGACTCTCTTTAGAAACACATGTGCTATCATGTTGTTAGTTGTATTCAAAGAAAGTTTATGATTTTTTTAAAATTATTTTTCTCTCTGTTCCACGTTCATATGAGTATCTAAATTTTCTACTGATGTTTTGAAATTTCATGCAGTTGTAAATTTTAATAAGGTAAGTTTTGGAGCATTACTTGATATTAGTGTTGTAATATGTAAAATTCTTTTCATTCATAAATAATTTGTTGTTGGTTAAAAATTTAACCTACACCCTAATAACGCTTTTTTTCAAAAATGTTGATAAGGTCTTGATAAAAGAAGTTTTGTAATGAACTCAAACCGCTCTTCCTCGTTTGATATATTTTTATTAGTGATAATAGAATTACATGACATTATCAGTTTGTCTTGTTTAAATAACTCATATAGTTTTGGAAACATCACTATGACAGAATCGTTCTACTTTTGGGAAATATTAAGTGATAGTGCATGGACTAAATGCATATCAAGAACTCGCTTATTTTAAATTCCATGAACACACACAAACGACACAAACCATTTTTGTATTATTTATCTAACTAATTCTATTTGAGCTTTAATAATTCAAAATCTCTTCTATCTTCATGTATTAAAAATTGACCCTTAAATTTGGTATTTGTCCAAGTAGTAGTCTATTTTATTGTTTTTCCTAGTGTGGTTTGGCCGAAACCTTCTTTTGAAGGTTATATTTTCATATTATCGCATTATATCATTTGAAGGTGTATCTTATGCGTATAAAATTTTGTGTCATTGCCAGAGAATATCGTCTGAAAATTTACCATGAGATGTTTGATTATTTAATATATGACACATGTTAATCATGTGTGATGACCCAATATCTCGAGCCATAATGACGCCTATCAACCCGAAAGTAGGCAAGCCAAACCATGTCCTGAACCTTGTGAGTAATAGTATTGAGGGGAACTATCCTTAACGAAGAGAAGCATAAATGAACATAAGACATAAGAGGAAGGTTGAAGTGAAGCCAAAACTATATATACAAAAGATACCTCACAGAAGCTGGTTATTGAAAGAGTAAAAGTCCAAAAAGTGGACCTTATAAAGAAGATTGTCTAAAAAAAGCAAAAGTTATGTCAAAATGTAAATACAGAAATGAGATAAGATATCCCAGAAAGCCATGTGCTCACCCACATCCCTAGAACAGATTATTACAGGATCAAACTCAATACTGATAGCTTGTGATCTAACCTGCATCATATAAACAACATCATAGTGTAGAATGAATACCAAAGCAAGACGTACCCTGTATGCATGATAGGACGACTGGGGAAAAAATAAAATCAGATGGAAAAGATAGCAATCAAACACTTACAAAGGTCAACAAAAATAAGAGTAGAGCAATCAGAGACCAAGTCAAAGGATATTAAATCTAAATCTAGATAGCTATCCCCCCCTACACACATAATATTTGCTAGGACACTCAAGCACAAACAAAGAAGAACCCGGACAGACTCGCATCAGCCTTATAGGTACAGAGAGAAGCAACAACTATGGAACCCAAAGAAAATAAAAGAATGAACCGACACAACCAATAACTCAAACCCAGTAAAAAAATTTGATTTTTATATCGAGCCATCTGGCTCGCCAGAAACTCTGGGGCATTACCGATCCAGGTAAGTAAACATTTAGAAGTGAGTTCTCTATGATTTTATATAAGTCTCCTCAGTAATGTAAATAAATCCACTCAAAAATACCTATTCGAACAGACCAATAGGCTACCACTCTAAGGGTCCTACCCAAGCAAATAAATTATACCGTCTAACACTCCCAGGAGCACTGCGATATGAAGAAAGAGTTAGCAAGCTTGTTAACTCAAAAGAGGACCTAAAGTAGGTTATATCGTACTACACAAAAATTAATCACCTCGTGGACTTCCATATAGGTAAGTCATTTATAACTCCCAAGGGGCCTACCAAATGAAAGGCAGAGTGTGCGGGTAAAATCAACACCATATAGGATCCAAATTACAAAAATGGTGAATCAACTCCAAGACAACGTCAATCAACATCCACTATCAAGTACCTCACACCACAATCGACCGCCTGACACCAAATAAGGAAAATACCATGCCTCCAATAACATATTGGTATCATAAAAATAAGGAGAGAAGCCAAAAGGATCACACGCAATAAAAATCCCAACACTAAGTCAACTATCATAACCAAGTCTGCTACGCTGATCTGCAAGGATTTAGTCCATCTTCATTGGTTTCTCATACATACAAAAGTTAACCAGGTGCATGGGTATAAGGCAATACTAGTCTATCCTAGACTAAGGACAAAAATAAATTCCAAAATAAATAAACAACCAACTAGATACTACGCATGAAACGATGGATACACAACCAATCATGTAATTCACCAGTACCGACATGTAAACAACCCTTTCAACAAAATGGTACTTAACCTGAAATGGCATGAAAAATCAACCCTGCAACTTTGTTTATGAGAAGAAGAGATGACATACAAGCAGCACACCCTAATTCACACAATAATACAATCACCCTAAGTCTCAAGGATGGGAAGTTGTAGCCTACATGAAGGACAACTACACGCGCTCCAAATCAGTCCGCCGGAGCATTTCCTTTCCGAAAAGCTTTTGATTTTTTCCACGCTATCAAAATTAAAATCACCTGATTAGCACAATTTTTACACACTAAATCATAAAAAACGGAGAGAGAACCATTTTCTATTCAAAATTGATAAATGTCATGCCTACAAAAGAATTAATTTCTTCAAGTGGTCCTAAAAACTCCCTCAAATTTGTACTCCCAAATGGAGCACGTCTAGGAGCTCGGAATAGCTTCATGCAATAAAACAAATGCAAAACTTTTCGCAAAAAAAGTCTTTGTGAAGACATCATATTGGACATACACCACAATCAAAAAACTTCTGACATGCTCCATAGAGTCACCCACATATACAAAGCAAACTAGAACAAATAGGACTTCGATTCACTCAATATGGAGTTCTATAACTCGAGATAGTGAAGTCTCAAAATCACATTGAATCTCATTATTCCCTATTTAAGTAGTCATAGTTCTTGTTGCTAAAATTTAAATCTAGTTGTCAAAAGACTAAATAATAGTTTCTAATGGTTTGCACTAACAACACTTGCTTTTGCAATAATTTTTAAAAGAGTCTCGGAATGGACCTTTGGAAATCTTTAGGGACTAGATGAAAATAGACCAAATATGCTACCTAACTAAATTTTACATTGCAGACACAGTGGCACAATTATAATTTCCCTACAACATCATTTAAACGAAAAATGGCCCCCAAATCTTAATGCATTTTTATCAAATTTCTAGTATGGGCCTCGAAATATGACCTGAAGCCCCCGGGAAGCACGCGAAGAGTCCTTTTAGACCACACTGATTATTCCAAAATGAACTGTGCTAACATAATTCTCACACGAGCTTATTTATCAACAATGTGGACCCATGTAAAACTTAAGCAAAAATTCAATGACTAAAGTTCCAAATTGCCGCAAAGTAACTCTGAAAGACTCGTGATTTATGCCAAACATGCTACTAGCCTAATTTGGCCACTCCAGAGATGATGCAATTGTAAGAATTCCCATTTTAGGTCGGTTACTATAGGTTATGATGAAATCTACTTTATAAGTTTTAAAATCTCCAAAATAATGAGAAACGACATAAAACCCAAACAAATGACTAGGAGACGGAACAGTTTGCCCGAACAGGTCATAATGACATATGATCCATACATGAACGCTCTTAATGATGGAAAAGGTCATAAACATAGAAATGTCGTGGAGGGTCGTTACAACATCCGCTACTAAAAGGACTTTCGTTCGTAGGAGAGAAAGTTAAGAAGTACATGTAGGATCAAATAAGAAAGGGAACCGCTCCCGCGCCTCCCTCTCGATCTCCTAAGAATCCTACTAGGTCATGCCTCATATAGACCTTTATCACAGGAATGGCTATAGACTTCAATAGCCTCACATTTCTAGCGAAAATTGTAACTATTTAATCAATATATGTGAGATGATAATAAAACTCATGACATTATAAGAGAGAACATGAGACTCATCTTGAACAAATTGACGCAACATCAAAGGATTAAAACAGGATAAATAGCTCATAGGCCACATCACAAATATCTCCAAAATCCCAAAAGGCCCAAAGTACAGGGGGATAAGCCTCCCTCACCTCCTAAATATCATCACGCCCTTCATGGGAGATGCTAGGAAGAATACCCGGTTACCAACGGAAAATATCATTGGACGACTCTGCATAAATCTGATGTCTACTTTAAGCCAACCCGAGCATATCCTAAATTAACCTTCGATGAACTATGACCTCTTGAAACAATGTTTTACAAGACAACCTACACTCCTGAAACTCAAACAAACTAAATTAAGTGCTAAAATGCATTCTATACAAGACCTCAAATGGGGCACTCAGAATGCTAGAATTGTAGGTGTTGTTGTACGCAAATTCCCCCAAAGGAAAGAACTGGTGCACTGAGCTCTGAAATCCATAACACTGGCCTAAAACATATCCTCAAGAACCTAAATAGATGAGTCATCAAATCCATGAATGCTTCAGGGGCATTAGTAAAAAAAAGACATAACAAGGAACACAAAATGTCAAAACTAGTCCTACGTGTGTTCTTTGGGATGTTTGATTCTATATTCCTCAACTGATGGTTGTTGGATTTCAAGTTAATCTTACAAAGCCCTACGACGCTTTAAAGTTATCAAATAGATCATTTATATGAGGAATAGGATAATTGTTCTTCACCGTCACCTCATCCAATTGTCTATAATTAATACATCTCCACATAGTACCATCTTTCTTCTTACAAATATGATAGCGCACCAAAACGTAATACACAAGGAAGAATGAATTCCTTACCCATGAGATACTGAAGCTAAAACTAAGCTCCTTAAACTCAACTAATTAGTACAATATGATGCTATGAAAATAAGATTAGTGCCCGACTCATAATTAAAGCCAAAAAATTTATCCCGCTCCAGGGTTAGACTAGGAAGGTTAATATGGAACACATATAAAAAATCTCATACCACAATCAACTGAAAGGCCCTACCCTAGTAACATCTCTAACATAAGCCAAATATTCCCAAAACCCTAGCCACAAGTCTATGAGTTGTAGATACGAAATAACCCCAACCAGTGTGCCATTACAAAAATCCTGCCACACCACCAGCTGAATACAAGGCATGGGTAATACAATAGTCTTGACATAGAAACCCCAGATCGCTCAATAAGGTGATAACAAGTTCATGCCCAAGGACAAACAAATATCCACAATACGAAGCACAATAAGATGCATCCCAGTATCCTACCACCAATAGTCACCATTGAAGATCAGAAAACTTGATTCACTACTAAAGAATTCTATACTAGATAGAAACGCGAAATGGCACCACTAAGGGCTCAAGATTCACCCACAATAGAGGAGCACAATAGACAGACACATAAAAATAAGTAGAACAATGATCAAAAAAGGATGAGGTGGACTGATCGCATAAGACAATCTTACATATGATCACATTATTTAATGTCTTGGCCACTACTCTAGCGGGAGCTGAATATAAATGATCCTAGGTTCCTATACCATGCGCATCAACGGTGGCACCTACACTCCCTCCTCGAGAGCCTCCCTGAAAACTAGAATGGTGAATTCCTTCTCTTTTTTGAGGGGATCTTATTGCTACTAGTTTCACTACTTGGGGAGCCGGTAAGGCCGATCTAGAGCTAGGACATTGTATAGACTAATGTCCAAGATCCCTATACGTGAAGGAACCCCGCGATGATCAAGCCGCTACGAGAGGTTGGCAACACAGACATGATGAACCTATCTGAAACATTGCATGACCTAATTTGGGCATGTGCTATAACCATCATGATTGCGTTAGTTACCCTCTAATAACAACAATGATGCCTGAAATGGGTGACTAGGCTGAATTTGCTAAAATCTTTGATGAACCAGGTCTTCAATATTCCTAGGCTAAAGACAGACCCCCCCTAAAGTTGTCATCCTTCCCAGTCCTATTGATACTACCCCCGTAGGCCTCGCAATAGAGCTACTCAAATGCGCGGGCATGGACCACACCAATAAAAAATCTACCTACTGAAATAATAAAATACGAATCAATACATAACTACAAACTCAATCCATTAACGAAGGGCTTGAGTA